TAATGGCAAACTGTTTGTTATATATTGGTTGGAATCGTGAGATGAAGAAGAGAAAGTATTGCCCCCACCTTTTTAATAACCCTTCACCCCTTTTGTCTCTTTTTCAAGATTCCCAATAAACCTTAGAATAAGAATTGTTCCCTTCATTAGTATCCTTTATTAGTTGTATGAAGGTTACCGTATTAGAAAAGTTTAGTATCAACTTTAGAGGTATTATACCTTTCATAAGATGAATTTGATCACAACCCATCTCAACAAGTTTTCAATCCGTCAATCACATTATCAAGTATGATCAATTCCGTCAAATCATGTATTTGTGTTTGTCGCACTGGGGTTGGCCTCCCTCACCCGCTTGATCTTATTATGGAACAAATTTTTGATGCTACTCTAGCACCAAAGATTCAGTACATCTCATCAATAAAAATATTACATGTCAGCTAAAGTTTTATTTTCTCTAACAAATTTTTTTTCTCTCATATGATGTGTAATGCTCTCTCATTGGTGAGATGCACTGAATCTTAGTATAACAGTAGCACCAAAAATTCATTCCTTATTATTATGATTGCATAAGTTGATGAAACGGACATCTCTATTGGCTTACATTAATAATAAATGTACGTAGTGGAGTACATGTTACAATGTCGTTTCCGTGGTGGGTAAGGGGCACAACTCACTCAATTCCAACTCAAAAGTAAAAAGACCAAAACGCCACTCATTGCTGGTTCCCACCACCATGAGTGGGGCATGGGACTTATACTCCCAATTCACATCACAAATCAATCAGTGTGAATAAACTCAACCTTTGGATTGGACCCCACCAAGAGCCAACTTTAATCATGTTTGATGCAGGTTCACCACAAACTACCAGTACGGAAGGTTCACAAAAGGAGCGGTTGCTTATTACTTAAAGACAAAAAGAAAGTAAAAAGCATTTTAGATTTTTCATTATGTACTATATGGTCTGCACCGCAACCCATCCCCTTCAACCGTCCTCCACGGATGCCAATAATGCTTCTCACTCGTACGGTTGCCAAATTTAGGTACTTTTAGTTTTGGCACATTGACCCATTTTCTGATAAAATGTATTTGTATGTCACGCAGTACAAAAAAAATTTCAAAGTGCCACGCGGCCAAAGTCTGTAGAGATTACTGTTTGGCCACGTGGCAAGTCAATTGAGGCTATAATACTCATCTCATTGACCTAAAGCATTCAATTTTAATGTTTTTCTAACACATGGGAGAGTGAGGACTAAAGTAGATAGACAATCTAGAGACTATAGTGCAACATGTTATATCAGTCCAAAGTTGTTGTACTATGCAACATGTACTCTTTTAATGCGTTGCACTATAGATTTTACAGTGTCCAGCTACTTTAATATAATATAAACCCTTTAAAATTTTAAAAATTATTGAATTAAAAGTTTATGTATCATGTTAGAAAAATTATAGACTTAAAAACTAAACGAATGATAATTGATCTATACAAGGATTAATATGAAATTAACTAATTATTTAAAAAAATTAATTAATTTAATTTAAATTACTCGACTCATCACGATCCAATGAACACGGTTAAAATGCTCACTTCCAAGTAGGGTTGGCAAAAATAAGTAAATCAGTAAGGATGGCTCGTAACCCGTGAAAAATGAGTCGGGTTGGATTGGCAAAAATGAGCTACCAACTCGACCCGAGCCAGCTCGGGAAAAAACAAGCCAACCCGCGGGTCAAACGAGCCAGCTCGCGGGTTGAGTTTTTTTTTTTTTTAAATACAAAATATAATATAAAAAAAGATAAAACTCATACGTTGTCATCGTCTTTCTTCCTTCTCTAAACCTAAGTCCCTAATCTTCTCACATCGCTGCCATTTTTGTTCGGTCTCTCACTCAGAAATCGAGACACAGCCGCCAGCCACCACCGTTCGCGCTTCGTCAGCCCCTGGCTTCATCGCCTTAGCTGCTCAGTCTTGGCCTCAATTCTTGCATTGAAAGCTTCTTGTATTCTTGATTTTTTGCAACACCCACATAGCTCATAGAAGCCACGTACGTAGCTGGTGCATTAATACTACATGTTCATTTAAATATGTCGAAAATGAGCCATTTTTTAGCCAATCCGCGAGCCAATTTTCGAGCCAACCCAAGAGTCATTTTTTCAACGAGTCAACCCTAACCCGACTCGGAGCGGGTTTGGTTGGTTTTATGGCTCTCTCTTTTTTTAGTCAACTCTAGTCCTACTCATTTTTTTCGGGTTGGACCGGATTATCCTGTTTTGCCAACCCTACTTCCAAATACTGCTTTGGCTAATTTGTATTGAACTTTTTTTAATTTGTATCGAACTTTAGACAACTGTTATTCTTGTCTTTTAAAAATATATTAGATATTTATTTAGTTTTTTTAAAAATATATAATAAATAATTTTTAAAATTTTAAAATAATTAACGGCAAAATAATATAATTAATTCGGCTCAATATATATTAGATAACTATTTTACAATAACATATATTCGATAAAAAAATATTTTTATGTTATTCTTAATATATGTTATTTTAATATTTAACAAATATATGTTATTGTACTATTTGACGTTAACATATATTTGATTAAATAATTAGTTATTGTACTATTTATTAAATATATATTAAGCCAAAATTAATTGCATTATTTTGACGTTAATTATTTTAAATTTTAAAAAAATATTCATTATATGATTAAAAAAAACTAAATAAATATCTAATATACTTTTAAAAGACAAGAATAACAGTTGTCTAAAGTTCAATACAATTTATTTACCAAAAAAAAATTTCAATACAAATTAAAAAAGTAAAGTTTAATACAAATTAGCCAAAGCAGTACTGGGAAGTTAGCGTTTGGACCGTGTTCATTGGATCATGATAAGTCACTGAATTGGGTAATTTAAATTTATTTAATTAAATTGTTTAAATAATTAGTTAATTTCATATTAATCCTTATATAGATCAATTATCATTTGTTTAGTTTTTAAATTTATAATTTTTCTAACATGATAAATAAACTTTTAATTCAATAACTTTTTAAAATTTTAAAAGGTTTATATTGAACCAAAGTAGCTGGATAGTGTAGAGACTATAGTACAACGTGTTAAAAAAATACACCGTGCACAATATAACGACTATGGACTGATATGATATGTTGCACTATGTTTTTAGGAATAGATTCTTCATATAAAAAAGTGGTCATGTTTTTTTATCACAACTACTCATTGATGGTGAGATAAGAGAGAAAAAAATGTATAATTTTCAAATGAGTAATTGTGATCAAATAACATGACCACATAATCACTTTTCCACGTGAAAAAATTCACTCCCACGTTCTCTACACTGTCAAACTGCTTTAATCCTCTATCAGCCACGTGTCAAAAAAGCATGTAAAAAAATGCTGCAACGTTCCCTGCTTTAGCCGCTGGTCAATGAGGTGAGTATTGTGCCCCGGGGTGTTTGGGTGTTTGTTTCAAGTTTTTGAAGAGGATTATCGGTAATCCTTCTTTGGTAAATGTAATTGTCACGTTTGGTAAAAGGAATAAATTATGATTCCCGGATATCCAAGGATTACCGGTAATTTGATTTATAAAGAAAAGTCACTATTCAGATTACCAAAAATAATATGGTAATTCGGAATACCAATCAGAATACCAAGTAAAGGGAAAACACAACAATAAATTTTGAGACAAAAATACCCCAATACACATAAAAAATCTAGACCCAATCTATCAATTACAAAAGTAAAAATAGTTTGGGGTTATTTTTGTAAAATAACCTCATATTCCAAGTCATATTTCGTTCTAAACTAAATATGGAATCAGTAATTTTTACCCAATATTTCCGGTAATATTTTGTTGAACCAAACACTTCTTTTGTAAGATTCCAAGTAAACTCAATTTCTACTGTATTCCCATTAATCATGATTCCCAGTCACCAATAAATTTCTCTTGTACCAAACACACCCTAATTATCACGCCATATGGCCAAACAATAGTCTCTACTATAGACAGCAACTTTAGCCACACGGTATTTTGGAAAAAAAATTCTGTTACCTGACATATAAATGTTTTATTAAAAAACGTGGTAGATGGGTCAATGTTACAAATTTGACAAGAAAATACTATAGGACCCTGGCCTCAAGTAGTACCTATGTTTGAACTTTTAAGTCCTTTATTTTTGTTTTCGTTTTACGATTTAGACCAACTCAAAAATTGATTAGAGTAAGCAAAACTTGTTTCCTTAAAATTGTTTGAAAAAGTGTGTCCTATGAATTTTTTTGTGTGCAGAAGTATCTTAAACTTTTCATTGATTAAAAAAAAAATTGTAACCAGGGGATTTAACGAGCCGTGAAAAAAGATATATAGTGCAACTTAAGAAGAATTGAATTGAAGAGTAGGACCGCTGGAGATTATTTTTTTTATTTTCTTTTTATTTGGTACTTCAACTGTTTTCTATCATGCTAATCTTATCTTTCTTTTCACAATTCGTTGATAAGGATAGTGTTATTTTTTTTTTTTTACAATTATTGTTATTATTATCAATTACACTGGAAGAGTATGCAGTTGTAAGATTCTCTAATTGTCAAGAAATGAAAATTCTGTCACATCAGTATCAAATATATTTTTTTAGTAACTACATCGGTATCAAATTTAACAAGCATTTCCTTAGTGCAACTGTTACACGGTAGGTCCACAACATTAGCCAACAATGCAGGGAGCGTATATGCTATGCTCCATTAACATAATTAATTCATATGGAACACAATTAAGTATTCCTGATCCCGATGTAACCCAAAACAACTAAAGAAAAAATTATTATTATTTTTATGATTGTTGGATTAAAATTAAATCAGATATTATAAAATAATATTAAATGAGAATCGTTAATTTAATTTTGATCCAACAATCATAAGTCATAAAAGTAATTATAAAAGAAAAATTGTTATAAATATAACTTTAACCGTACATTTTTCATATAACCTGTCAAAGAAGTTGAACAAAAGATTATACATATATGTAGAGAGAGAGGGTAAAACTTTTGCTACCAATGACATGACGTGAAAAAAAAAAAAAAAAAAAAAGATGTGGAATGCCGGAACAGTCACTATTTTGTCACGCTTGTAAATTTTTTTATCAAACTGTCACGTCAACAGTAAATTTTGTTAAAATGTCATGCGGCATATTTTGCTACACTGTGTAGCGAAATATGTTTGCAAGTAATTCGTTACACAGTGCAGCGAAATATGCCACGTCAGAATGCACATAACCAAAAATGTCACGTGTCAAGCAGACAGAATTCAAGCATAATTCGCTACACAGTGTAGCGAATTTCTGCTTGATTGACACGTGTCATTTTTTGTTGACCGTGCATTCTGACATATTTCGCTACACTGTGTAGCGAATTATTTGCAAACATATTTTTCCACGCCGTGTAATATGTGGTGTGACATTTTGGTAAAATTTAGTATTGACTTGACAAAGTGATAATTTTTTTTTGCAAGTGTGTCAAAATGGTGACTCTTCCTTGAATGCCATAGTGTCAAGCATGTTAATGGTGCGATCTTCGTATATAGATTCTCTGGCCCTACCTCTAATGGGTTGCAGCCGCAACGGCAGCCATTGCTACGGGCGGCGGTGGGGCAGAAACAGCAGTAATTACATCTTTTGGGGACACAATTCCAGCGGGAACAACATGGGATTCCTCGTACAGGAACTTGTGCACGATCCTAAGACTCTTTGCCAGCACGTGATCCTCCCACGCTTCCCGTGCCTGTTCATCAGAGCCACTTTTGAGGAAAACCTCGGTGGCGTCGAGGCGGTGCATGCTCCGTTTCCACATGCTGTGCAGGCGATGAATCTTCTGGAGCTGGCGATTTGCGAGCGTGCAGTTATTGACTTTGATCCTCTCAATGGCACTCTCGAGGAGCCTCTTCTTTATTCTGTAATCCTCTGTTGTTGACTCTGCTCTTAGGAAATCGTGAAATTCAGGAACCCCAATGGCCCTTCGAATCCCTCTCGTGTAATCAGCACAAGGGTCGAAGAATTCACGAACCTCGTCAAGTTGACCACCCTCTATCATGCGATCTACACGTGCATGTAGTGAGGAATGGAGCACAGGGAGTGAAACATCTACCCAGAGGAAGCAACACTCGTACCTTAACCTAAACTCTGTGTTATGGTTCACCAAAGCATCTATGTAGGAATTGGAACCCCCAGCAATTATGGGTAAGCCATCCCTTCCCACGATGGAATCGATGGCCAAAGAGGCATGGAGACAAAAGTCATTAGCAGTGAAATTTAAGTTAGGATCAACCATGCCTAGAAGATGATGTGGGACCCCACGAGTCTCTTCCTCTGTTACCTTATTGGTTGTGATGTCAAGACCCTTGTAAACTTGCATTTTGTCAGAGTTCACTATCTCCGCTGGTGGGAAATGGTTGGCCAAGTCTATTGCCAGCTTCGTCTTGCCGGTTCCTGTGGCCCCCAATATCACAACAACCTTATCCTTGCGATGGTGAAACAAGGACAAGGACTCCATATTGGTGAGCCCCTTTTGGAAATTTATTAGGGGCAGTACTTGTTTGCAAGCAGGGGCAGAAGATACTGGGATAATCATTTTTTTAACTATACCTGCCAAGCTGACCACACATTAATTTTTTTATTTAATCATGTACGGGCATTAATTTATATACAATATGTTCAAAAGATCTTTCCTTAAAACTATTATAAATAAATCAATTTTAATCAAACGAAAGAAAGAGATAAGTATACAAGTGAATATAGATAAAACTTTGTTGTATAACTTACACCAAATTTCAATAAGATTGAAGAATAAAGAACAAACAAGCTTAGTCTGCAAGCGTATAGCATAGCATATATGGGGCATATTATGAAGTATGGAGGAAATGAAAGATGTATGCTTCCCACACTGAGACTACCGAAACAGAGTATATATAAAGCAGGGGATAAGCAAAATATAGCAATAATGATTTTTTTTTTTACCATATCCTACATATAATTTACATGGACCACCATATTTATGCATATATGTGTACGTACCGTCAGTGTCAAAGACGCGGCGAGCAGCTGAAAAATTATAAAGTTGGGTTCTTGCTTGGAGTGCCTAATAAGGGAGAAGTTAAAGAGTGTGATGATATTGTGCGGAATATGAACTGGGGTAATAGAAATTTGAAGAGGCCTTGTGTGAAGGAACTTGACTTGAACAGAAGCTCTCTGGGAACATTTGCAAGGAACAACGGAGATGGATGGATTTGGGAGTGATCCGTGGATTTTCTGGTGTTGCTAAGGAAGCATGCCGCTAATTTATACGAAACGAAAACCTCTATGCCCCACTTTAGGAATAACATAGAAATTAGTTTTCCGCTCCTAGCCTCCGGAATTCATCAAATTAAAGTAGAAAAAATGTGATAAATAGTAGATTGAACCCTTTTCTTTTTCTTTTATAACTTTTTATAATTATTTTTATACTTTTTGGATCAAAATTAAATCATTGGCTCTAATATTATTTTATAATAATTAATTTAATTTTGATCTAATAAATATAAAAATGATTAGAAGAGGTTATAAAGGAAAAGAAATTATAAATAGAGTAAACACCCTTTTTAGTCCCTGTCAATATCTACGAAGTCCTTTTTAGTCCCTGGCAATAAAAAAGGACTAAATTGGTCCCTGAAATTACAAAAAAAAAAAGGGTCATGTTAGTCCTTATGTCAACTCCCAAATATGTAGAGTGACCCTTTTCTTGTACTTTCAGGGACCAATTTGGTCCTTTTTTATTGTCAGAGAATGAAAATGACTTCGTAGATATTGTCATGGACTAAAAAGGGTGTTTACTCTTATAAATATAACATTTCTTTATAAATATATATTAAATTTTATTCTTTAATTTAAATTTAATTTCCGATCCTTTATTTATTTTTGAATGATCAATTTTGGTCTATATTATAATCATAATTCTAATAAACGACGTAATAAATAAATTGTCACATCAGTCTTAAATGGTTTGTGTCACAATTATATTTTTAAATATATACATATAAAAGAATCCATGGACTCTTTGCTTAGCTCCGAGTCTCCGACCTTACCCTTGGCTTTCACAACTTCAACTTTTCATAATTGGACAAAATATGAGGTCTCTTTTTAGAATGACCCAACCTCAATAAAGCCCTTTTGTTACAAAAAGAAATCTCCCCATGAAAGCCATTGAAGCAAAGATTATTTGCATTTCTTCACCAATTCTAGACGATGTATATGGATTCCGACAATCAATGATATGAAACTACAATTCAAAAATAATCAGCCGTCTACAATTTCCATTCATACTTAACGTGGAGAAATAGGATTGGGCCAGAGAAAGGTTTGCTTGGTCGGTCCAGAATGACCATATATTTACCTTAAAATCCAACATTTTTAAATTTCCTGGAAAATTATTTGAGGATTAAGTCAAGGAAACCCATTGGCACTATCGTCCTAGCCACCGCTCCCCAAAGTCCATACCAAAAACGTAGTGTTTCCCCAACCACGAGTTTGATGGCACGTGACCAGAGCTCCATTGTCCTCCACGTGTTTGATATAAAAGACATTGATGGTTGTGCGGCTTCGATTGGCTGACGGCGGAGAGACTTTGGAAGTGAATTAGATTATGCACAACGAGGTGGGCCCATCCCTCTTTTCTCCCAGGTAAAAGTAAAACGCACAAGGAAAAAAAATATTTAACGTTATTTTAGATAATTTTATTTAATATTATTCAAAATAATATTATTTTGAATTAAAATGATAAAAATTATTATGATTTTAAAATAAATTAAAATTATAAATATACTATAATTTTTATTCCAAAACAACGTTCTTTCGATAAATATTAGATAAAATTATCTAAAATAATTTTAGAAAAAACGAATTCAACACGCAATTTGTTAAAATTAAGAAGAAAAAACATATGTATCAAAAAAACTTATTTACTTTTTTATATATAAGAATAATTACTGAAAATATGTCAACCTTCTTAAAACACTAATGAGCAAAGTTTTTTTTTAAGGTCTAATTGAGAAACGAAAAAAATGGTACACTATATTATGTACATAATAAAATGCATTTTTTATTCAAAAAAAATAAAAAATAAAATGCATTTTAACATAGAGTTCATTTTTTCTGCAGTTACTATCTGCAGTAAGCCTAATACGACGTCGTTTAGAGGCAGAAATTATGTTGTTATTGTAATTTTAATTTATTTCAGGGTAATAATAGTTTATATTTATAATTTTTTAAGATTTCAATACCAAAACGACGTCGTTTTGAAAAAAATGCAGATAATTTATCTGCAATAACAGAAACATTTTCCCCTTTAACATATGCATCAATTAAATAGATTCTACTTAGGGTGTGCATGACAATGATTATGTTTTCATGTTTGGAAGAGTTTCAATGAAAACAATATATTTGATAATGCGTTTTATTTTTATTATGAGAAATAAAATTATGTTTCATAACACAATACCAATATATTTCTTTACTTTTGAAATAATTACAAATATTTCATTCAATTTGCAAAATAATCAAATCACAACAGATATTCTAAGTAAAATGTTAAATTTTAATATTTAACAAATTATAATTATTTCATGAAAATACTAAAATATATAAAAATATAATATTTTAATACAATAAAAATACCAAAACAAATATAATAATTTGTCTCATGAAAATTCTAAAATATATAAAAATACTACTATTTTTTTAATACCATATTATTACCTTAATATTAATGAGACAAATGAATAGATAAATACACAAACATCCCCAAAAATCTCAACTAACTTTTCCCAACAAATGAATTGTTATATACAAAATATTTACCTAATTTTTTTTTAAAAAAAATCAACAAATATACTAGAAATCTTAGGAGCCACTATGTTAAAAGTTACCTTAATGTGGATATATCATAAAGATGCATCCTCAATTGTAGCAGTTTTCAAAATAGTGTTCCATCCAAAACTATATATGCCTAGTAATTTCTTGAAACTTAAATATTCTTGTCTAAGTTTATTCATCTTGTTTTTCAGTTGACTTTGGGTGTAATCAAGCCCCGTCTATTTTGAAGAGATGGAGTCATGGAAAAAAAGAGGGAGGGGGATAGGTAGGAGGAGGGAGAGGAACAATGTTTTGAAGAGATAGAGTTGTGGAGAAAAGGAGAGGAGAAGAGAAATTTACCTGATGGGTAAAAGACAGCTTGGTTGGAGATAGAAAAAGATAAAGGAGGCACGTATCAGAGAGAGAGAGAGAAGTGTTTCTCTTTTTTAGCTTTGGAATAAAAAAGCAGAAAAAAGTTGTTTCACTTTCTTATTTCTCAGAATAAAAATTAAACTAAATCATTCTCAAGACAAAAAAATAAATCGATTTTTTCTTAAAATACAAGAACATTTTCTTGTTGAGGTCCTTAAAATTCCTTCTCCCCACTTTGTTCTTGGGATCCCAATAAAGACGTTGAAGCCGACTATTACTGTATTGGACATTGAGTTCCTAGAAGTTTTTAGGTCTTCAACTATTGATTAAAATCTGTTGCATGATGCAAGCAGGAGAAAGGGTTATGTTGCGAACTCGGCAAGTGTACTGATCGTTCCAAGTAATAAGTGATAAGTAGAGTATCGTCTCCACGAGGATTGAGGTACTAAATTTATTATAACTATTCTTTTCTTGTTAGATTAATAAAATTGATTTTAGAGAACAAATGTTGATTGTGAAAATTAAAAACAAATCAAGAAAATAGAGGAAGTTTCAAGATTTTCTTAAAATTTCAAAAACACAAGAGTAATGATTGAGAAAATATATAAGGAAATATTGCGGTAAAGAGAAACAAACACCTTTATGATCCCCACCTTGTAGCATGAATTAACGTTTACATTTAATTATTCAATTGGTCAAACAATTCAATATTTTTCATTTAGTTGGTTAAGTCCTAATTCCTTAATGACTTTAACCTTATTAACTCTATTAGAATCCTAATCCCTTAGAAACTCCTTTTCAAGTTAAGATTTAGAATCAATGAATCCTTAACGTTTTCGGTTCATGTAGCCTATCCCTAGTGCATACATAAACAGTTATTTTACCTTTTGTCAGAAATTAGAATCCCAATATCTCTATTGAAAACCTTAAACCTCTCAATCCTAATAGATTGATCAGTTCTAGAAGAATTATAAGATGAAGAATAAGGTAAACAAAACACAATTTGAATAAATAAATATAAATCAACCAAACTATAAGGGGTTCACATTAAGGGTTGTGACCCTTTCCACAATAAAAGAAACTAGCCACACATATTCATGTATGGCGAATTCAATGTAAAAGAAATTAACGTTTAGAACTTAATGATGAAGAATAAGATGACGATCTTCAATCTTGATCCTCAAATTCTTCCATAGCTCCAAGAATTTTCAAGAATTCTCTCTCTCTCTCTCTCTCTCTCTTGTTGTTTTTCTCTTGTCACCGAATACCCTTTCTTTTGGTTTCTGATCTCCTTTATTAGGTTTAGGAAAACATCTTTCAAAATTACCCCCAATTGGGCCTCATTAAGTGCAAATCGCGTCCAATTAAAAGAGATAAATGACGCCCACGCAGACCGTGCCAGATTCGCGCGAATCGCGCGGCAAAACAGTAAGCTTTTGATCTTATAGCGCGGATCGCGCGAGACTTTGCATTTTTGATTTTTCTCTTTTCATTTCTTTTCTTGTCCTTCCTGCTATCAAAATATATAAAATGAGTGAGAGAATGACTGAGAAGGAATAATCAATATTTCTAACATTTATAAACAATTTTTGCTCATTTATGATTAATTCATTGCTTTTTTAAGCTTAGAAAACATCATACGCTAAACGCATATCAGGTTACCTATTGTGTTAATTGAATTTATGATGTTTGTAAAATTGGTATGACTTTTGTTTCAAACTGCGTTTTTCTTCTTTTAATTGACACTCTGTGTTTCGGTTGCAGTCCTATGAGGAATACATAGAGGCTAGGGGTGTTCGCGGTCTAGATTGGATCGATTTTGGAAGCAAAATTCATCCGATCCAATCCCTTCGGTTTGATCATATAATCATCCATTCGGTTTGAATTTTTTTTCAAATCTGATCCGATCCAATCCAATCTTTTTCGGTTTGGATTGGATCGGTTTTCGGTTTTTTGAAAATCCTAAAATTTATTTCATGATTATTATGCAAATAACATCTTTTGTATTTGTATATATTGGCTTTGTACTTTTTTTTTTGAAATACAAAAGCATTAGTAAACTATAATATAGTTTTTTTTTTGGCAATGAGATCTGA